CAGTGGCCCAATTGAGAATAGAGGAGAAAAAGAGCGGGAAAGAGGAGCGAGAGGGAGGCGAGAAAGGGGAGGAGCCAAGAGTAGAGGGATATCTGGTGGCAGGGGCTGAGGGGAATTTAGAAGGTGAAAAGGAGCTAGACTGGGAGACTGAGGGGCCAAAAGAGGAGGAGGAGGAGGAAAAGGGGAGCTGAAGGAGGAAGACCTTCCTCTAGGATGTGGTGGGTTGGAAATGGAAGATCTCTGGACAGGAGAACATGTTAAAATGAAACTGTCCATAGAAAAAATAGGAAGGAGACGATATATTGTTAGACCTGTGGGGAGTAAGATAGGAGAAGAGGGGGAAGAGGAGAAAAGACAAAGGAAGGAAGGATTCGAGATACAGCTGGGAGAAGCGGAACCTGTGGAATGGATGGTGTAGGTCTGTCCCAAGAAGGAAGATTGGTGGAAGAAGAAGGGGGCCAGGTCAGTGGGGATGCTTTAGCCAGAAATGCCCACGGAGGGAGAGTGGTCTCGGCACCCTAGGCCTCAGTCTGAGGAGGCCCACAAGAAAACCCACAGATTGCAAATGGTTTGGAGTGAACCCCCGAGGGTGAACTCTTTTGTGAGTTAAAGGACAGTTATGTGACCCATTGTCCTTTGTGAGTTAAAGGACAATGGGTTACAAGGGACCCATTGGTGCAACTGAAGTTGTTATTCATAATACTCCGTTGTTTGAAAATAAAAGAAGTATTTGTGGAAAAGGACTATCTCTACTTTTGGGGGAACAAGAAGGGGAATGGGATTTCCCCAAATTTGAACCCACTCACACATGTGATTTATACATGTACAGCAATTGCTGACAAACATGATTTCCAGCACAATTGAGGAAGATCTTGCCTTTTACAGCTCTCACACACATTTCTAAATCCTAATTTTGTCATCTCCTGGCAGGCGCGTATGTTACCCTTTCCCAACTCGCTGCCCTCTAGATTCTTTAGAATCCCTCTCCTATTTCTGACCATCAGTCATGGTGGCTGGGACTACTTGGAATTACAGACCCAAATATCTGGAGGGTACCCGGTTGGGGTGAGGGCTGTTTTTGTTCTCTCTGCTCCTCATGGAAGCATTTTAGCTCCTTTCTGCTCATGTTGTAGATTTGTTTCCCTCAAGCAATCTGGTGAAAATTCCTTTCTTCATTCTATTGCTTGTACTACATTGCAAACTACCCTCAGTGTTGAGAATTATGTAAGGCATCTAAAGTCGCTTGTCCTATTTCTTTTCCCTGTTTTAAGTGCATTTTCAAAAGGCATGCTTTCAATTGTGCTACATAACTTGCAGCTTTAGCTATTGTTGACAACATAATAGATGTACACTATATCCAGCTTGTTCAGAGATGGAGGCAGTTTTGAGCAGTCATTTGATAATGAACAATCTTGAGTTGGATACATAGGGGATGTCATTGGCAGATTTCAAAAATCACAATTCAGGAAGAAAGGAAAGAAAGGAGGGAGGGAAGGCTGCTCCATTTCCCAGAATTCCCCAACCCATGTGGCCAGTGGCCATGGAGGTTGGCTAATTCTGGAGTTGTAGTGTAGCTGCCCCAACTTTCCCAAGTTTGTCTCCATCCTACTTTCAATTATCAAGTGCTGCAGAAGTTCTGATCAGTGGTGCTGTTCTCTTAGGATGGGACGCAGGTCTGCTATAATGTGCCTTTCCTTTCTTCCCAGGATAGTTGCCGCTACAATGACACATACAGTAATGATCACATCAGTTTGAGGAGGCCATGCCATTGCTTTCCCATTGCCTTCTGTTGATCAGTGCCCTTGATCGATCCCACAGACTGGGAGTGGCATTTCATTTTGACCATGTGGATCAAATTAGCTACCCATGATTAGTAGGGTAACACCTGATATGGAAACTTGGTTCTCATAGCAAGACATGTCTGGGCAGTTTTAAAAACCTGTTTAGATTTGCATGCAATCTGGTTACACATTTCTGTGGCCGTATATTGAAGAAGCTTTCCTCTTAGAAAGTAGAGAGAGATGTTTTGTCCTAGATTTTATATGAAAAGCAATATTTTAATGCAAGCATGGGTCAGATCAGAAGTGCGTTTGCCTGGAACCTGTGGCAGATGAGCAGCAACTATTCCAAATGTCAGTGTGAAAGCTGATTGGTTAGTCTTTCTTCCTCATCTTTGTGTACGTAGGGATGGGTCTGACTGAATGTAAGCTCTCCCTTTTTAAAGGAAAGTACTGTATGTTAGACTGAAGAGTTGACTGAAAAGAAGGAGAACTGCTTTTGCCCTACTCTGTTGCTTCCCTGCCATCCTCTGTTGCATTTCCCTAAACAGCACTGCCAGTTCAGACAAGGGAGACCAGACCTGAAAGGGTGCAAATAAAATAGAGCCAAGGTCTGTACTGTATCTGGAGATTTCCACCACCAGTCTAATGGAACCAAAGTCCTGCCAAACTTTGTCATCTCCAGTCTAGGCCTGCAAAAAAGCTGAATTTCTCACTCAGTGCTTCCCATTTCCAGCAGAACTGCAGTGAGAAGTTTTTCATATCACCTTTCTAACGGTAACTTTGTGGGCATGGGCTGCAGTTGACTTGCAACACCACGTTTCTCCTTTTGTGCGGTAGAGCTGCATAGGAAGCAGGACGGGTTGCATCAACTGCTGACGGATCAGATACCTGCTGCACTTGGTGAGACAAACTCATGGTTGTCTCTGAATGAGAGACTGCATCACTAGCAACCCCATGACAAGCAAGGAGAAAGAATGGCTGCACTGTCATGGATGAGGGCTGGTGAAATGATCTTTCTGCTGACCTTCAAACCAAGCTGTAACTTCTCAGGGTGCATTTATCCCTTGCCTCATTGCAGGGGGTACGGCCAGCTTTTATTGAACTGTTGGATAGCTCAGCGGTTTAGGTATCTGGCTGTGGAGCCAGAGGTTGGGAGTTCGATTCCCTACTGTCTTTGTTGACCAGGGCTGAACTCGATAATCCATAGAGTTTCTTCCAGCTCTGCAGTTCTAAGATGATGATGATGATTCAAAAATACCAGGCATAGTATATCAAAATTATAAATACATTGACTGGTATTATATAACAGATGCAAGTTTTAACTGAAAACCTAAGTATACAGTATAAGTATATCAGGACACTATGTATCCTGTTCCTAATATTGCCTTTCTTGCTGCTATGTAACCCAGGCAACAAATCAAGGCAAAAGTTTACATTGCTTGTGTCATGACAGGGCTATTTGAGTTAACACGCAGGTTTGTTACTTTGAATAATGAGTATCTTAGGCATGGAGATTTGCAGCTTTTTCTGATTGCCCCAGCACAGTTCTGCTCCCCGAACACACAGCATACCAACCACAAACATCTAGATAGGGCATTTTGGAATGTGCTTTCTTGCATCCTAATAACTATGGCACTAAAAGTAGCTGCAGCACAGGAAGTAAAATGATGAAGAGACATTTGATTAGCAGGCTCCTGTCCTGTCCTGAGGTGTTGTTCTTGCACAAGTAATGAATTCCTGGATTTTGATACTGTTCAGTTACCCTACTACAATAATGCTCTTCTAGGTTCCCGTGATAGAGGAATAAACTAATCAACTTGCCTTTTTTTAAACTGCTTTAGACTCTGTCCCCCTAGCTTGCCTCAAAAGTTCTTACTTGCTGCCATGAGTGAAACATTAGCACTCTTAACTTGGGAAAATTGCCTTGACAGTTTTCTGTTTTAATTGGGAAGCCACTGACAGTGCCAGCTCTGAGCTGCACACATGAGTGGCTCAGCCGAAGGTGGTCGTTTGGCCAGTGTTTGATCAGGCTTTGATCCCCACCTAACACAGTGACGGCCTCGCTTTGTTGCAGGCTGAGGTTTCATCGGGTTGACGACTACCACTTATTGGGTAGTCGCTTGGGGAGTCTGGCACAGCAGGAAGTGGTGTTTTCCTATGTCTACATGGCCTAATTATTTAGCAAGTTCTCTGTGAAGGGCTTCTTGGTACTCTAAAAAGGAAATGTGAAATACAGAACACGAGTTTGTGCTTTCCTTTGCCAAAATAACCGTTGACTTAAAATCATAATATTCTGCTGTTGGAATGGAAAAGAACTAGATATAGGTGTTCTTCATCAGCAAACAGTTCTTCTTTCAAGAGTATATAATCCTGGACTGGTTGCCTACCTCTTTATGGATTCCATTTAAAGTGGTAGTTTTAGCCTTAAAGCCCTCACCAAGCTTATCTTGGACACACGGTATTCTTCCATGATCCTGCCCAGCAGTTAAGATCAGCATTTGAGTTTCTGCACTGTTGCCCCCAAGAGCTTCTCGTAACAGCTACACTTTGGACTACAACTCCCAGAAGTCCCTAGCCAGTGTGGGAATTCTGGAAACTGTAGTCCAGAACAGTAGCTTCTCTAAACTGTGGTCGTACTGTTACTTGGATTACACAAGCGGATAGCAGAGGTGGTGTGTTTTCAGTAAGAGCAACAGGACTGTGGAATTCTCTCCCTTTGGAAATCCAGCAAAAAATCTCTTATCTTTTTGCTTCTATATACTTTCAGCTTGCAGTGTCATTCTATCAGCTTGCTGCAGTGTCTGTTTTCTGTAACATACAGCATTTTATTGTTTTTAACAATATTTTTTCTACTTGGAGTGTGTTTAGCAGGATAAAACTGATAGGATATGAATTTGGCTAAGCCAAATTGTTGTCTGTAATTATTATGAGGAATAAATGAGATATGCAGCAAGGGAGGCAATCCATGTTCTGGATGAGTTCATTTTCAGCTTTAATTGGGAAGGAGGTATTTTTGTTTTAGTTTCAATCACACGGAACTAAGAATTTAATTTGGATTGTATCACTATGTATGTATGAAAAAGTCCTGTCCAGTGGAATTCCTCTTTGAGATGTCCACCTAGTGACACAATAATACCATATTTTTCCTTTTAAATAAATATTTTTTCCTTTTAAAAAGAGACCTGCTCTGAAAATGCTCTCCATCTCTTCCCTTTTCAGCTGCCGAGGACAGGATTTTGAGGACCATCTGGCATGGGAAAGCTGGCCGAAGTCCACTTCAGACTCTTTACAACAGTGACCAGGTGAGTGTGCTAGAAGGAAGGGGGCAGTAGGTGGAAGAAGTGAGCAAGCTGTAGTCCAGCAATGCTTTTGTATGAAAAAAGGATTTCCAGTAAGGACAGAGTGGGTGGATGAGATTTGAGATTTGCACCCTGCCCAGGATATAGGGTTTTATTTTTAAAAAATGCATCGAATATGAAAAGGAGAAACGTGTTATTGCACAATTTTAATTGTTTTGAACCACCTTGGGTCCCCTATGGGGGGAAAGGCAGTATATACATAATATAAATAAATACATACATTTTGGCAGTTCCATACAGCAGAGGTCATCAATCCCTGGTCCACGCCTCATTGCCGGTCTGTGGCTTGAGCCCAACTGGGCTGTGGAGACAGACATCCTGCCCCCCCCGCATGCACTCCCCTCCCCACAGCTGCTTTGCCTATGTGTGCGTGCAAGCACACATACGCAAAGCAGCTGTGGAGAGGTGAGTGCGTGTGGGAGAGAGCGGGAGGTCTGTCTTCGCGGCCTGGCGGTGGCGATGAAACATGGTGACCAAAAGCCGGGAGGCTGAGCATGGCCAGGTGCTCCGGCTGCTGGCCTCCCGGCGGCGGTGTTACCCCAATGTCGATTCTGCCATTTGAATTTCCCACAGAGGGCGGCGAGGAGCCTGTCGGGAGGCAAGCGGCCAGAGAGAGCACCCCGGCCATGCTCAGATTCCCAACTTCTGCTGCTGCCAGCACACGCTTCTGCACATGCAAGAGCGTGAGCGCGAGGGGACGCCCCACCTCCCTCAGAGGCTCAGCCGGTTCGTGGTAGGAAAAAGGTTGACGACCTCTGCCATTCAGGAACACACCTATATAACAAAGGATCATTAGATAAGGGAAGACTGGCTGAGGAACCCATTTAAAAAAACCAGTGTACCTACTGGTTTTGCCACATTGTATTTTGGTGTTGGGGACTATATAACTTACTGGGAGGCTGTTGTCTTAGTTGAAGTACCTTTCCATGTTATTTTTCCCCAAGAGAAGTTTTTTTAAAAAATGTAGTAGTCTGACACCAGAACATAATCATGTTGCTTTGCTTGGGCATGCCCGCCCCACCCCACCCTAAACATCACACACCAATTACCTATGTCACTGAAACACCACCTACAGACATGCTCCCTTGCTTTACAAGAATCATTTATGACAGACACAGAAAGACCTCAGAACAAGGAAGGCAGTCGCCTCTCATCAATTTATGTTAGGCAGAGTGCTCTCTAGACATGGTTGTCTTGATAGAGTAGTGTTCTTTGTTTCCCCCAGTCTCTCTTTTTTGCTTTTAACAAGACAAATAAAAATGAAAACAAGAGAAAAGCAACACCAGTAAAGTGTTCCCACAGGAACAAGGATGACACCCAAGTGAGCTCTTACAACAAACTGAGTGGCTTTTGAATGCTATAATATATAATATGCTTTAATGTTTCTTTGGGGGCCATTGGAAACATGCCTTTAAAAAAAAATCTCCTATGGATATTAATTCTTAACTCCTACCTCATACAAACACTGCTTGGGCCTTTGAAATATCTTGCTTCCTATCTATAGAAATTCAAAGGGCTGATAGTAGGACTGATTACAGGGGTGGGCAAGAAGAGGGGTGAGAACAGACCTCAGAAGAGCTACTTTTTTGGCCACACTGGTTGAGGATTGCTGAAGCTGTACTTCCAAAAAGGTAGCCCATTCTAAGCTCTGTGTTTTACCATCATCTTTACCACTGTATGTTGCCTTCATGGAATCTGAGTTGAGTAGTCTTGGTTTCAAAGTAAGTTTCAAAAAGAGTCCTGTTTTACAGGATGGTTCAGAATGACCACAGTGTCACCAGACAGGTGTGTGAGAAAGGGACATAAAGGAGGTGCCGCAGTTTATATACCTCTTATATTCAAGAGACAGAGCATTTTATTTGGAATGGCAGGTGCCAGCTGGTGAGTGGGAAACAGAGAGTGGGAGGATAGTTGAGTAAAAGGAGCTTCCTTCACTATGATGTAACTGTGGCTGCCAGAAACTCGTCGGAAGCCAGAGAAGGACAAGAGGAAAAGGCAGCCCTCTGTTCCCCACAAGCTGGTAGAGAAAGAAATACCCAGCTATGCTGGGAATTGTAGTTCAAAGGTGTTATTTGTTTGCTTGTTTGTTGATTGATTGTATTTTTACACTGCCCATCTGATGGTTGAGGTTGGCTTTTATTTGTGTTAACCACCCAGAGTAGTGGCAGAGGTATAATAAAAGCACATAGAAGCACCCAATCCCAAACCTCAGATGTCTAATCCAAGCAGTCCAAAAGAACCTCAGTGGCGACCGTGGTCAAAAAACAAATATAACATAGATATAGATAAGCTGTCATGAAAGCAGGATATCCTCGAAAGCTTCTCTGAAGACATGAAAAGCACAAATCTATAAACTTCGAATTGAGACCATTCTCGAAACCCTCCAGGGTTTACTGTTGTTTTGTCTGGATTGTGATTTCAGAGCTGTCCCTTGGTTTTATAGTTAATCCTGTTTGATAAAAGCTCTGCAAGTCAAGTCAGGAATGCTGTTTTCAATGTGAATCAAATTCACTGTATTAAAAAAAAAATCCTCCATGCATCCTATAACAGTAGCATTTACTGATGAAGAGTGAAACAAATAGAACAGTAAGCAACGTTTGGAAAAGCTAGAGCTAATTTTTGTCCAGGACTGGGAATATCTTGTATTGAGCCCTAGTATATCTTCCAGGTTAGGCCTTTGGCAATATAACAACATTTTGGAAGAGGGGGAAGACTAATTTTTGTCCAGGACTGGAAATATCTTGTATTGAGCCCTATATCTTCCAGGTTAGGCCTTTGGCAATATAACAACATTTTGGAAGAGGGGGAAGGGAAAACAAAGGCAAACAGTGGAAGAGGACAGCTTGACTTCGTGTGCTGAAATGCAAGGTTTCTCTTTTGAGTCTTGTTGCTTCAGAAAAGGAGGAGAGGAACAGGAGGGAAGGCTGCTTCTCCAGATGGATGCTGCTTTCTTCTTCCCTTAGAGAAGAAGCGGGGGGGGGAACAGCCAGGTGAAGCATGGGGGGGAAAAAAAGAAAAGAAAAATGAGCCCTTGAACTTGTTCAGAGCAGCAAGCCCTGCGGCAGAGGCATGAACCTGGCGTGGCCTCATGTGCCCTCTCTAGCAGATGGCGCCTGTAGGAAAGGAAGGGAGGGGAAGGTTTGAATAGCCAGAGGCAGTCTGTGTTCATGCCATTCCGTCTTTGGCATTGAACTGCCTTTGGTGAGAGCGTTCAGCTGGGCATCTGAAGGAGGCCTTTGGTTGCTTTTCCTTTGCCCTTGCTCAGCCGGCACACATTCAGCAGGACAGTTTAGCACCCAGCTTGGAAAGGTGCCCTTTTGGTGAACTCAGTTGAGGGTTTGTGGGAGTTGTAGTTTTTAAAAAAAAAACCCTTTCCCAAACTCTGGTTTAGTAGTTCCTGTTCCTGCTGTTATTTTGTGACCAGTCTAGCTCACTCAGTGTGTGCCACATTGTGTTTCAAATCCTATGACAGGTAATTGTCATAAAACAAAATAAAAGATGTGTGAAAAGGGAGCCAAGACAAATGATTGGGAGGGGCTGCTGTTGCTGAGAAACTTTGAAGGCGAAAGACTAAACTCCATAATGCTATATGGACACATCTATACTAGAAGTGGATGGATGGAAATCAGCATGTGCTGGATTTTTAAAAAAGGTTTTGCTAGTTGAGTTCTCCCAAAGACTTTAGGGAACTGTGTAGTTTGTTTAGGGTTCTCAGATATCCCTCACAGAAAGATAGTTTCTTCAGGTTTGCTGGAAAATGACAAGATCCATCAAACTACTTTGAGCCTCTGGTGTGGATATGGCCTGTGGGATGTCCTTTTCTCAGTACAGAAGTGACAGAAGGCTGTCAGAAGTCTGTTCACGGCAACTGAGGAGAGGCTGAACATGATACTTATTCCTGGAATATTCTTTTTAGATTGGTTTTCTCCATTCACCTAGCCTCCATTTGGAAAACCTAATTTATTCCCTTCTCTGCCAGTTCCATAAAGCCAGTCACAGGAGTGTTCAGGAATGGGGAATTAGATTTAGTTAACTCCCCTTTCTGTCTTGTTTTGCTGTTCCATTTGCCCACATACTTCTGCTTTCTGTCAGCCTTTAAATGCTCACCACACCCATTGGGGTCAATTAAAACTTCTAGAGCCAAGGCAGTTTGCAGTTACAGGAGGAGAGGTTTTTCCTTGACTTTTCTGTGCCACTGCAAGAGAACTTAAACTTTAAAAGGGAAGCTTCTTTATATATGAAGAATTCTTCCTGTTCTCCACCCCGCCACAAGACTCAGCTACTAATGCTCACATTGTCTCCCAAACAGATAGTGAGTTGTCCCCTTTTCCAATTCTGTCACTAACTCCTGAGGAGGCTAAATAAGAGTGTGTTGAAGACAAATGATCCCTGTGGCAGGTGATCTTGTGAAACCCAGCCTTCAAGACCGCAAAGTTCTTTATCTCCTGCAACCAGTGACACAGAGTCTGGAAAAGTTCCTCTTTTTTCTGTAACGGAATCCCCAAGCCAGCATGACCACAGGGAAGTTTAAGAATTGTGGTGTAAAAAAGCCGTTTTCCCAAGCTCTTTGCCGATGTGACACTGGCCGCACTGGCTTGGGTATTCTGGAAGTTGTAGGCCAAAGAAGTAATTTTTTTCAAGCTCAGCATTAAAATGTTTGGTGTACTGAGCAGGGAACTCACTGGGATCAGCCAGTGTGCAACTATGACTCCTTTTCTGTCTTGTGTCTTCCCAGTTAGAGCTGTCTTCCCTGCAGGCTACTCACCAGCATAGGCGGGAACTGCTGGGCAGCATGTGCAATCGGTACACCCGCAAGCGCCGCCTCTTGACCCCTGAGGACTTACGCCACCTGGTGGTTGATGATATCCATGGGTTGCTCTACTGCTATGTCCCCAAGGTGGCTTGCACTAACTGGAAGCGAGTCATGATGGTCTTGACAGGGCAGGGAAAATACCAGGACCCACTGGAGATCCCAGCCAGCGAGGCGCATGTCTCCTCCAACTTGCGCACTCTTTCCGAATACAGCGCTTCTGAGATCAACTACCGCTTGCGTAACTACCTCAAGTTCATCTTTGTACGGGAACCCCTTGAGCGGCTGGTCTCTGCCTACCGCAACAAGTTCACCCGCAGCTACAACACGGCCTTCCACAAGCGCTACGGGACGAAGATCATTCAGCGGCATCGTCAGGACCCCACCCACGAGGCTCTGGAACGTGGACACGATGTACGCTTTGAGGAGTTTGTGTACTACTTGCTAGATCCACGGACGCAGCACGAAGAGCCTTTCAATGAACACTGGGAGAGGGTGCACTCCCTCTGCCACCCCTGCATCATCCACTATGATGTGGTGGGCAAGTATGAGACCTTGGCCAGGGATGCCAATTACATCTTGCAACTGATTGGGGCTGACGCAGGCGTCAAGTTCCCAACCTCCTCTAAGACCACCAGGACCAACGACGACATGACAGCGAAGTTCTTCCAGAACATCAGCCCCTTCTACCAAAGGAGATTATTTAATTTATACAAAATGGATTACTTGCTCTTCAATTATACTGTCCCTTCTTATCTGCGCATCCGATGAGACCCCCCGCCTCTTTCTCGTCATTTCTGACTTCTGCTATCTGCCAATGATATAGATAGGAAATAACTTTACCCTTTCCCAATTCCTACCTTTCTGTGATAGACAATGTTGCCACAGTTAGTTAACACTGTGGTGGCCACAGTACTGTCTGTTCCCTCTCCCTTATTTCAGTCAGAAGAATCCACTGTTCAGCCAACCTTTCTCCTGTTTCTCAACCAAAGATTTTTAGCCCCCTAGAAAGTACTGGAATTGTTGCCTTTCATTAGGAGTTGGCAGAATCACTCTGGAGCTGTCAGGAAAGCAATAAATGGCATATGTATTTTTATAAGAGTATGGTTAACATATCCTCAAGCTTCTCCCTTCTTCATAGATTGAAGAAGGAGGAACATGAGCCAGAAATATCTTATTGTGAACAATATCATTCTTGCAACTAGAATTTTCTATGAGACAAAGTCTTTCATCTCTATCCTGCTTTCCACCCACCACCCCTTAGTTGGCATTTTTTGTAACAAAGCATTTTCTTCAGACACAGGCCTCCAATGTCTACCCACATGCAAACTCCCTTGAAATGAATAGATACTGTACTGGAATAGTGCTTAATAAAGTGGCCACTTGAAGTGGGGGTGGTGAACACTTATAAGAACATTTATGTATGTGACCATACATAATCTCATTAAATAGTATTTAATGAGAAGCAATAATATACATATATAAGTTCATGTGTATGGTTAACATTCCCTCAAGCCTCTTCACAAAAATTTTAAACAGGCAAACAAACAAACAAAAAGCACCATAACAGATATTGACTATGTGAAGATATTATTGAAAGTTCTGTTTTCATGTTTCTAATACAATGTGGGCCTGGCCAAATTCAGGTCCAGAATTGTGCTCTTCGGTTTAAAAACCAGAGCAGACACAATTGAAAAAACATTTGGGATTCAAAGGCTGAAAGTATTTTGCTTTAGCACTCTGAGGAAAAACGCAGAACTCATTTTGGAAGAGTGAGGGACGTGGACTTTCTGGGTCCTCAAAAACTGCAACAGTGCTTTTAAGAATGGCATCTTGCTACCATATCCACCTCCTCCTCTTGTTTCCCTTCAGAAAACCCACTATTTTCTTCTTCATTGTTTTCCTGTATAATCCCAGCCAGTCATGGTGGTGATATCACAGTGTCATATAACTAATGTTTTGCTCTGTGAGGACATTACGAAGTGTATTCACAGTAAGAGCTGGGCTCCCTGGATTCACTCTGTAGGCAACCACTATTGTTTGCAACCTTCCTGAAAAGAGAGCACTATTTCATTGTCAATCAGGTACTTTTCACTGAGGAGCAAAAGCTTTTATGTGAAGGAGTTACCATCCATCTTAGCTCTACTATCAGTGTTTCATTATGAACATTTTAGGTTATTGCACTCCCTCTTTTTGTCCTGCCAAATATAAGTGTAATAAAGTGGTCATTATACCCCCCCATCTTAAATGAAATGGGTATTTCTTATTCCCTATAATCTGGGTTTTGACTATTTCCTCTGAATTTATCCTTCTGAAAAAAATTGGGGGGGGGCATCTTAACACTTCAAATTGTGATTCACAGTCCACCTATTCAAAATCCTTTTGACTGCCTTTCCCAGCCAGCCTCTTCTCCTTAAGCATCAAGAGGATTCTGCTCCAGAGAACCATCTGCTGAACTTGAGGAGATTAACTTTTCCTTCCAAACGATAGTTTTTGCAGCTAGAACTAGGCGACATATCTGGCTTCACAACAAGAGAAGAAGTAGCTCGGGAAGAGTTGACTTGGTGAGAATGTTTATTTTTAAAAGTGTGGAACTATTTTTCAGGAAACATTTGGTTGGGTAGAGAAAGCAGCACTGATGGTGGAGTTTGTTTTGTCCTGTCATATAGGCTTCCCTTACATTTAGCTTGGAATATGTTGTTCTGGCATATAATGTTAAAATGGTCTGCACGTCAACTTTTGCTTTCCATCTAGAATGGTTATCGTCTTTTTAGGTGCCAAGTCGATCCCCAGGGTGCTAGTTGGTCTAATGCAAAATCCTTTGAAATGGAAAGAAACTGAATACAGTGTAAAACTGGAATGACAGCCAGCCTTATTGAGTGATGAGGTGGGATTTGGATAAGGAAGTAGAGAAAGGGAATTAATAAACTGTTAAATCATTGCCAGTGTGCCTACCTTTGGAACATTTGTACTACTTGAAGAGACAATCCTGGAACTGTAAATTTCATTCAGTCCTCTTGGACGCTTTTGCTTAAATAAAGCAGCATTTTTGTCCGTGCTATGTTTCATTCATTTTCATTTTGTTTTTTCCTCTATGTATGGAAGAAATCACTTTGGTTAAACCGAAGTTTTGATAACAGGGTTATCTGCAACTCCCAAAAGGCTTAGCCAGCACAGCCAGTGGGGAAAGGATTATGGGAACTATAGTCCTGCAACTTTTAGAAAGCTTCAGTGAAGTGTTTTGAAGTTCTCTCCCTCCCTCTCTCTCTCTGTGTGTGTGTATGTGTGTGTCTGTGTCTGTGTCTGTGTCTGTGTTATATAAATAAAGAACAAAGGTTTTTGGTTCTTCTAATTTCACTTCTTTTGAAAATGACACTCTCTTCCAAAACTGACTGTTGTTTTTTTAAAGTTACAAATGTGTAATTGCACTCACAGGTAGTATGTGGCCTCCGTGTTGATTCTTATGGGTTTAATTCTATTAGGCTTCCAACTGTCTTTGTGTGTAGCTAGTTCCGGTGTCCCCCTTGCTGCTTCCTTTGATGCCCAAGGAGGTTGCTTATTGTATTATTAACCTGCATCCAGGGATGCTATCTCACTTTTCCAGACTGCAGGCATTCCCAAAACCTTCCTAGAACAATGCTAATCTGTTCCACCAGTCCATGGGCTTATGCATGAATTTAAAGCCATGTTGTTGGAAGCATGAAACATGGACTCTACAGCAGTCCTGCAAGCTAATGGTCCAAAGATTTTTCCACAACCAAAACAAATGTGCACTGGCATGGAAATCCAGTGAGAAATGTGATGGAAGAAGAGAGTATTACCTACTTATCACAGTGGCCTTTAAAAACACTTTAATTGTGTTTCTTGTTATATGCTGTCAAGTTGAAACCAACTTATAGTGACCCTAATAAGACTTTCAAGATAAGTGAGACAATTAAAGAGTGGCTTTGCCAGTTCTATGCATACCCCAGTGAGTTTCCCTGGCTGAGTGGGCATTTGAACCCTGGCATTCAAGGCCACCACTATTCAGTACACCACACTGGTTATCCCTGTTTACCAGGATGGAGGTTCCAGCACTATATTTACTGCAATGTAATGTGAGTGACCTTACAGCCAAAACGTGTGTTTTTGCTTCAGGGAATTATTTGTGCTGAAGTGAATAACAAATCCAGTCAAAACTGAATATTTTTAACCCTAGAGTGTTTTCCATTGGACAATGAAGTGCAATCCTTTATTCATATAGGGCCCCACTGAGAAGTGTATTTGGGATTCTGGGTAAACCTGTTCATGAAATCCAAAAATGCTTTATTACCTTTTAATTCCAGTATCCCTCTGAAGAGCCCTGGATTCTTTCTGTTCATTTACAGTAGTTATCTAAAGCAATGGGTTATTGCTGTGCTTTTCTATGATCCTTCTGCTTGCAATAAAAATGGTATGAAATGGCATATCGAAAACACAAGGTAAAAGGGGAGCCTGGGAGAACAGCTGCACCAGGAGCATCAAAATGAGTCCAGTCAGCAGCAATGCCTGTTGGAACAAGGGGATATGAAAATGCAACCAAAGATGGATCTCTTACAAGGGCATTGCGTAAGACGGACACCATAATGGAGAAAGCTCTGTAACTCCTGTCGAGCTGCCAAGTGAGATATGACTTGGCAGCTGGAAAGAAATGGCAGCTTCAGATTTTTATCTCGAAAGGTCAGCTAAGGTTTATAGCCCATTTTATCCTTCTAAGCTAGGTTAAGACAGTAACTGAGCCACGGCTGCCCAACAAGCTCAATGAATGCCTGAGCATGGAGATGAGCCCAGTTCTCCTTACTGATCGCCTTCTCCTCTGTGACATGCTGCCTTTCGAACTCTGTGTGGATCACACATTTGCGAACTGCTGTGCTAAGTCCTGTGTGGGGTCTTTCTGTTGTTCCCACCAGCTATAAGAAACGGCCTGAGAATGTTACAGGTGCAAACAAGATACCTTTGGAGCTGAATTACTGCTCCAACTTGGGAGAACTAGACTAGAGGTTTCATAGCCCCTTACTATTGGCCATGATGGGTATCCTGGACAAAATTTGATGGCCAAACTATCTGGACGACCAGAGGACTCCCACTCCTGTTGTAAACACATAAGCTCTGAGGGGCATTGGATAGATAAACCCCACTGACATCAACAGAATATGTAGAAAGAAATGGAATCAACTGGGCAAGTTATTGGTGATGTAACCTGATTCTCACTGACTTCACTGAGAGTCAGTGTGCAGACTATGTTAGGCTGCATCCCATCCAATGAGTACTAAGACAATGGGAATGACAAAACAGGTGTAACCAGAAAAATCAGCAGCAATTGGTTTACTCACGGCCCATCAAGTTCAATAGAACATACTTTGATCAGTGGATTTGGGATTGTTGCCTAAGTATTTAATGCTGAAATATACATGTAAGAGTGACTGTTTTGCCAGTGCATGGCCTAACCTCAAGTGTGGCTGCTTCTCTTAGCGTGAATAGTAGCATTGAAGCAGAAGATTCCAGAAGCATAATGTTTCTCCTTGTGAACTGAAGGAGCCCCAGGCTTCACACAACCTCCTTGAATGGTGTTTATACCCTGTTTCCCCAAAAATAATACCTAACCTGAAATTAAGCCCTAGTATGATTTTCAGAATGCTCAAAATATAAGCCCTACCCCCAAAATAAGCCCCGGTTAAGTGAAACCCCGCCCTCCGCCATTGTGCTGCAACCAGAAGAAGATGCCATGACTGTAAAATAAAACATCCCCTGGAAATCAGCCCTAATGCGTTTTTTTTGGAGCAAAAATTAATATTTGACCCTGCCTTATTTTCAGGGAAACACGTTATGTCTATGCACACATTGTATTTAGGTCAGAAACTGTCAGTCATTCAAAAGGATGTATTCTATATTTTTAATTTTTGCCACAGCATTTCTGATTCTTTCCTTGGCTTTTACTCTGATTCTCTCTGAGCCATGTTGTGCTCCCTTTCTTTTCAGGCTGGCCTGTTTCCTCCCTATTCCCTCGTGGCAAAGCGAGTCCTCCACCCCTTCCGTCCACCTCACCGTCTTCTGCTTCACCTCCGTGAGGGTATTTGAATTTTACCGCCTTCCATAAAGACAGGTTTTAATAAATGTCTGGACAGTTTCTCAGACCTGTCAGGTGTGAGTGGTTGCTGCTGATAAAGCAGGAATTTTAAAAAGGGCAGCACCCCAAAGGCAGGAGGAAGAAGAACAGCAGGCATCAGAAAAAGTGCTAAAACCTTATTTCTTGTAAAAGGACACCTCATTTTTGTGAAGTAATTAGTTTTTCTTCTGACATTGACAATGAATTTCATGTTCTGCATTAACAGTGCCAGGGCAGTACATCTCTCTGTTTGCATGTAAAGTGAGGACAGCAAACCACACGACTGCCATTTTCATTCCTCCTTGGCATCTTAATTGGCTGCAGTTCTGACTTTGTCACAAAAGTCCTGCTTTCAAATGGAAGCTTCCTGAGGCCGTAATACGCAGGGAGGCCAGCACAGAACGATGGGGACATCTTTAGTCCAGTT